CCTCATCACACCCCCACCATCATCCTCATCATCGCCATCATCATCCAGCATCCATCACCACATCAGCATCATCATCATCATCACCATCACCATCATCATCATCACACCATCATCATGCTCATCATTACCATCATGTCTCAATCTTCATAACCATCATCATCATCATCCCACCACGCCACCATCATCATCATCAGCATCATCACCACCAATCAGCATTTCATCATCATACCCATCTACTTCCACACAACCATCATCTCATCATCTCTCCCCTCATCATGACTACTCTCATCACACCCCCACCATCATCCTATCATCACCATCATCATCATCATCATCACCACCATCACCATCATCATCATCATCACCATCATCATCATCATCACCATCATCATCATCACCACCATCATCATCCTCATCATTACCATCATCATCATCATAACCATCATCATCATCACCACCATCATCATCATTATCATCATCATCATCATCACCCCCACCATCATCCTCATCATCACCATCATCACCATCATCGTCATCACCACCATCATCATCATCATCATCCTCATCATCCTCATCATCACTAGCATCATCATCACCCCCACCATCGTCCTCATCATCACCATCACCATCATCATCATCACCACCATCATCATCATCATCATCACCATCATCATCACCACCATCATCATCCTCATCATTACCATCATCATCATCATAACCATCATCATCATCATCACCACCACCTTCATCATCATCATCACCACCACCATCAGCATCATCATCATCATCACCATCATCGTCATCACCACCACCATCTTCATCATCATCATCCTTATCATCCTCATCATCACTAGTATCATCATCACCCCCATCATCATCCTCATCATCACCATCATCATCATCACCACCATCATCATCATCATCATAAGCATCATCATCATCATCACCATCATCATCATCACCACCATCATCATCCTCATCATTACCATCATCATCATCATCATAACCATCATCATCATCATCACCACCACCATCAGCATCATCATCATCATCACCACCATCAGCATCATCCTCATTATCACCATCACCATCATCGTCCATCACCACCACATATCCTCATCATCATCTCATCATCCTCATTCATCATAGCATTCATTCATCCACCCCCACCATCATCCCGAGCATCACATCATCCCAATCATAATCACCCACCATCATACATCATCACGCATTATACATAAAAAACAATCGTTCATCTCATCATTACCATCATCATATCATTATAACATCATCATCACCACCACCATATCACAGTCATCATTCATCACCACCCATCAGCATCCAGTATCATCATCATCACCATCATTCGTCATCACCAACACACCATCATATCATCCTCATCATCCTATCATATCACTGGCATCACATCACCCCCACCTCGTCCTCATCATCACCATCACCATCATTCATCATCATCACCACCATTCACCACAGCATCATCATCACCCTATCATCATCATCACCACCATCATCACCTCATCATTACCTCATCATCATCATCATCATAACCATCATCATCATCATCGCCACCACCATCATCATCATCATCACCACCATCAGCATCAGCATCATCATCATCATCATCATCACCATCATCGTCATCACCACCACCATCATCATCATCATCATCATCCTTGTCATCCTCATCATCACTAGCATCATCATCACCCCCACCATCATCCTCATCATCACCATCACCATCTGTTTCATCATCACCACCATCATCATCATCATAATCATCATCATCATCATCACCATCATCATCATCACCACCATCATCCTCATCATTACCATCATCATCATCATAACCATCATCATCATCATCATCACCACCACCATCATCATCATCATCATCACCATCAGCATCATCATCATCATCACCATCACCATCATTGTCATCACCACCACCATCATCATCATCATCTCATCATCCTCATCATCACTAGCATCATCATCACCCCCACCATCATCCTCATCATCACCATCATCATAATCATCATCATCACCACCATCATCATCATCATCACCATCATCATCATCACCACCATCATCATCCTCATCATTACCATCATCATCATCATTATAACCATCATCATCATCATCACCACCACCATCATCATCATCATCACCACCATCAGCATCATCATCATCATCATCACCACCATCATCGTCATCACCACCACCATCATCATCATCATCCTCATCATCCTCATCATCACTAGCATCATCATCACCCCCACCATCGTCCTCATCATCACCATCACCATCATCATCATCATCACCACAATCATCATCATCATCATCATCATCACCATCATCATCATCACCACCATCATCATCCTCATCATTACCATCATCATCATCATCTTCATAACCATCATCATCATCATCGCCACCACCATCATCATCATCATCATCACCACCACCAGCATCATCATCATCACCATCATCGTCATCACCACCACCATCATCATCATCATCATCATCCTTATCATCCTCAGCATCACTAGCATCATCATCACCCCCACCATCATCCTCATCATCACCATCACCATCATCATCATCATCACCACCATCATCATCATCATCATAATCATCATCATCATCATCACCATCATCATCATCACCACCATCATCATCCTCATCATTACCATCATCATCATCATCATAACCATCATCATCCTCATCACCACCACCATCATCATCATCGTCATCATCATCATCACCACCATCAGCATCATCATCATCATCACCATCACCATCATCGTCATCACCACCACCATCATCATCATCATCATCATCCTCATCATCCTCATCATCACTAGCATCGTCATCACCCCCACCATCATCCTCATCATCACCATCATCATCATCATCATCACCACCATCATCATCATCATCACCATCATCATCATCACCACCATCATCATCCTCATCATTACCATCATCATCATCATCATAACCATCATCATCATCATCACCACCACCATCAGCATCATCATCATCATCATCACCACCATCAGCATCATCATCATCATCATCACCATCATCGTCATCACCACCACCATCATCATCATCATCCTCATCATCACTAGCATCATCATCGCCCCCACCATCGTCCTCATCATCACCATCACCATCATCATCATCATCACCACCATCATCATCATCATCATCATCACCATCATCATCATCACCACCATCATAACCCTCATCATTACCATCATCATCATCATCATAACCATCATCATCATCATCACCACCATCATCATCATCATCATCACCACCATCAGCATCATCATCATCATCACCATCATCGTCATCACCACCACCATCA